TAATCAGTGTGCTCTGATACCTGCAGTAAAATACTGCCGACTTGCCAGCTTAAACGACAAAATATTGGGCAGAAAGTAAAGTGCCAGCAAGGGCGGAACTCTCTTCAGAGGTCCCGGATCCTCCTTGGTTTGTGGATTCCTTTCTCCATTTTCAAAATTGATCTCTCCATTTCTGCTCCAACTCTTGCTTCCTTCTTTTCTAAAACAGACTCCCTCTGCTGGCCTTTCATGAAGAAGCTTGAGTGTGTATAGCTACTACCAAATAGTCTCTTAATCTTAAAATTCCCAAGCAAATCTGCAAAGCCACTTTTGCCATTGAGGCAGCACTCACAGGCTCCCCAGATCAGGGCCTGAGTATCTTCAGGGCTCTTCCTAAGCCGGCACAAACGCTTGCTCCCTTTTTACTTCTGTCTGATCAAAAAGAGTGACATGGTACAGTGAGCCACCTGAGGATGTTGTCCAAAGCATAAGGGATTTACAGAGGCAGAGGAGGCATGAGTGTGCATTTGAACCTTCTTCTCAGAGAGATGATTCTGGAGGGTTTCCGATCAAAGAATCTGTGAAGAAATATTCAGAGCTATTAGTTGTGATTTCTGGCCATCAGGGGCTGAGACAATGATTCTGGGAGAGGATAGGGAAAGAGGAGAGAAGAGGAGAGGAGAGAAGAGGAGAAGAGAGGAGAGGAGAGGGAGGAAGCATGGGAAAATGAATGTATCAGAGTAAAAATGGTTGAACAAGGCACAGGCGAGGTTTCCCTGTGCCTCTGCCTGTTCCTTGACCTTTAGGTTAATTATTCCTTCACGTATGTGTAACTGACCCTACCCTGGCCACACATTCCTGCTGGGTCATGAGGTGGAAATTCCAGGATGCTGTGCTTGGAAATGGCTCTGTTCTATGGATGAGCAGGCTGCAGAGAGCCGGCCAGAGGAAGGATGGAGCAGGAGGTATTCCCAAGAAAGGGCTGGCAAGGGCGTAGGGCAGTCAGGAACCGTGAGAGATTCTTCTCCCAGGGACTGGCTGTGCCATCGAAGACCGTCTCATATGTCTAATGCACAAGGGGCAGAAACCTCCAGTCCTTTTGAACTTGATGACTAGAAATCAAAGTCTGTTGTTAATGTACTTTGTCCGGCACAAGAGTGGAATTTGATAGTCTCCGGCACTGCAGAGGGAAACTTCACTGGCATGCCAAATGTGAAGTCTGTGAGGAGAGAGCCCATCATGTATAACACCCTCTCTAATTCAAGAACTACCTGCCTTATCACAGCTCAAGAAGTCATCGGCCATTCTCACTTAATTCGGAGCACATAACAGTAGCTATCTATACGTGGTGCCAATGGACGCCATAACTTGTTCCATATTAATGACCTGCTCTCACTATGTGACACCCAGGTCTCTTCAAGGTGTTGAAATATCGTACAATACCAGACTACAGTGGAAAAGCAGGGAGATTTTCTCTGAATGAAACAAAGGGGTAGAAATTGCTACTGCAGTGCAGGGGTGTCCCGAGCAGTGGGGATTCTGGAGGGCAGAGTGAGGGATGAGACCGTGAGAAGCTGACAGCCTTTAAATGCTGTAGAGTGACAGCGCCATTCATTGTCCCCAGGCTGAGGCCTGCCTAATTCACAGAACACGGTGACTTAAGTCTTCTACTTGTTTCCTATGAGAGACGGGGGCTCTTGGTTGCTAGGGTTACCGTCTAAATGTGAACTCCACTGACATGCCACCTCTTAATAAGGCCAAGTCCTTCATGTATTTTTGATGGTGTGCCGGTGACAAAATCCTTCTCAGTTTAGCAGAAAAATACTGCAAGAGTGAATTGTCAATGACAACATCAGTGTCCTCTCTCAGCGTCTGGGATTAAGTGAACAGCAGCCACGGTCAGGCCCTGATGTGGCCCCCGGCTTCCTTAAAAACAGCTAAATTAAAGGTCCCTACCTGAGGGGAGGGGAACCTTCCTCCCCCAGCAGGGAGATACCGTGATTAAGGCTCAGCCTGACCTTCCTGCTTCATCTCCACGGAAATAGAGACACGTTTCCTAAATGGCAAGACTTTACAGAATCATAATGAGCAAGGACCAGGGTGCCGCGCGCGCGCGCGCTAAATTTTCATCTTCATTCCTGGAGCCCGCAAAGGAGAAAATAAAGGAGGCCTCTATTATTTGTTATCAAAAGAGAACAGCCCTCCCTCCCCGTTTCTTTGTGCAGAGACACAATTATCTGTAGAATAAGTCATTCATTCTTCAGTCCTCCAGATTGCTTTCCTGCACACCGAGTTCTGGGGTTATTATCGTTTAGTGGATGCCGATGGTGTGATGAGGAGGCTTCGATGTTGAGGGTGATATGTATTAGTAAAGAATTTGCTCCTGGGGAAACAGCCCAGCCTTCAGGGAATTCAAAACAAAAACAAAGCCGCACAGACCGATCTGTTTCATACTTAATGAGGATAAAATAAGCTCGCGGGTTCTTTCCTTGTAGGTTCTTTGATGTTCCATTAACTCATAATTACTTAAATTACAAAATGCGTTGGTAGCCTATGCAATCTAAAGACTTTTCTCCCTTAAATCACAATGTGTAGGAGTTAAACAGTTTCTAACAAATTGGAGAATCTATATCCACTGCATCGTTGTATTGTTTTTTTGCATATTAAAATTTAAAAATTAATAAAAAAGCAAGCATGTTATTAACACCCTCCATTTAACTTAGTTTGCGTATGGATTGTGGTGCCTAGTTTCTTTGGGATGCTTAGGAAAGATCAAAATGTTCACAGTACTGCTTGTCTTGAGAGCAAGTTCCCGGAAAAATCGCAGAAATGGTTGTTAAGGTAGAAGTCGGAGTGTTTTGTCCTTTGCATTTTGGCACGATTAGGAAACGATGCTATCAGTCTCAGTGTGTACTCACCCAACAGAGGAAGGCGATTTTCTGAAGGGCAACAGTACTATTAGAAAGGAGATCCACACAGTTTGTGTAGGGTCAGTTACCTCATCTCAAACAACACCTAATGGCGAGTCAGGGCAGTGTTCCTGCAAAAGGGGAGCATGTGTCTAATAAAACGTCACGCGTGTCTGCAGAGGGAAGACATGCATTGTCTCACATCACTGTTCCCAGACCAAAGGGAACGTGTTTGTACTTAGCAGCTGTAAACACGAAGGGGGGGGGGGGAGAAAGACAGAGAGAGGGAGAGAGAGAGAGAGGGAGAGGGAGAGGGAGAGGGAGAGGGAGAGGGAGAGGGAGAGAGAGAGGGACAGAGACAGAGAGACAGAGAGACAGAGACACACACACACACACACACACAGAGGGAGACAGAGAGACAGGGAGACAGAGAGACAGAAACAGAGACAGAGACACAGAGAGAGATCTGGAATTAAAATGGAAACAAAACCCAGCGACGCATTTATTTCAAAACTGAGGATATGCTGCCCCCTGGTGGCAAATTCAAGTATTGACACGCTGTGTCGGCTGAACAAAACCTGATTGATCTTTTTTCAGGATTTCAGAAAAATTATCTGAACATTCGTATAGTATCTACCCAGTGTTTAATCCTCCAACCAATTTTCTAACGCAGAGGACTAAATCCACACAGCCTCTTTTTGCCTGTTGTGCGTTCCCAATTTCATGAATTCGTGTTTCCACCATAGAGATGCTATTCTCTTTCGTCAACGTCTTCCTCTTCTGCTGGGCTTCGGCATCTTTGGGATGATAATGAGAATAAAGTTTACAGCTTTCTTGTTACGATAAAGTGGAGGAACCAAGACATTTCAGGAGTTTGATGCTTTTAGAAGAAGGTAATTCACGCACAGAAGTGGGAGTAAGTGTTAACTGAACTAAAGACAACTGGAACCAACTGAGGAGGAGAACCTAGAAGAACGGACTGGAAATACGAAACTGTCTTCTTCCACTCACGGCTCCTGCCGTCCCTTCTCCTTGGTACACCAGCGAGGACCTTGTGTGTTCTCTCCTTCCCTGGCAATTGACATGTGGTTTTTTTTTTTGTTTTTTTTTTTTTTTTTTTTTTTTTTTTTTTATAATTTTCTTGGGCAATTGTATTTATATGTATGTAGATTCTGAGTTTTCTCTTTTGTGCACAATAGGAATATTTTTGTTCAGTCTATTACTCATATTTTAGTTTTATGTCGCAACACTTTAAAAGCTATGTCTTTTGCAAAATTTAAATATTCTTTTTGAGTCAGGGTCTCACTATGCAACACAGGCTAGTTTTGAACTCATAGTCCTGCCTAAGTGCTGAGATTACAGACATGAGTCATTCTGCTTGGCTTTAAATTTCATTACTATTAAAATTAGAGTTTTCCAGGGCTGGAGAGATGGCTCAGGAGTTCAGAGCACTGACTGCTCTTCCAGAGGACCTGAGTTCAATTCCCAGCACCCACATGGCAGCTCACACCTGTCTGTAACTAACTCCAGTTTCAGGGGAACATGACACTCCTGGCAAAAACATAAATGTACATTAAAAAAATTTTTTAAAAAATTAAGGTCTTTCTTTGTGTCTTTTAAGAATATTCCAATTAGCCAGTGGTGCTTGCCTTTAATCCCAGCACTTGGGAGGCAGAGGCAATCAGATTTCTGGGTCTGAGGCCAGCCTGGGCTAGAGAGCTAGTTTCAGGATAGCCAGGGCTACACAGAGAAACCTTATCTCGAAAAAATAAAACCAAACCCAAACCCCAAAAGAATGTTCCTGTCTCCAACAAATGCATTTTCTGTGTAAGTCTTTTTAATTCACTGTTCTGTCCACCCCACCGGTGTGCCTCCATCATCTGCCATATGGACCCCTCTCCCCACAAGTCTGAGGGTTGTGTTGTAGATTCACTGCACAGCGGTTTATTTTAGGTGACATGAAAAACGCAGCAAACAGAAATTCTTGAGGAGTAAACTCTCAGGTCCACGTTGAGTGCGATATTAAACAACAATTTGGTTGGTAAAGAGCCTATTTACTTTGAATCAAATATTTGATCAGGCAAAACATGGCCATCAAAATTTCATAATAGGTAAGGCATTAATAATACTACTTTATTTTACGTTTTTCAGGAACAATGTGCCATTCATGGTTTCTTCTAAACATTTTGACAGTTATGGCGTCTCTACATTTTGGGCCTTCAGGCTCTGTGTTTAAATTAAAATTTTGTCCGGTAATTCAGTGTGACATTCATGATGGGTCATCATGATAAGATAGCATCTAAGTCACTGAGATGTCTCTGATTTACTAATGAGATTATAGGTGTGCACTGTGCCAGATGAGTCGTAGAAGAGACAGATAAAAGAATTACAGTGCTTTGTAAGAATGAGTAAGAACTCTTCTCGACGCAGCAGCTGGTGAATATCGTGAGGTGGTTTCTACAGGCATCCAGTGTTCATGACGACTTCAGGGGGAGACACAGGGACAGCCTGTTGTCCATGGTTGCTGCACTGACGGTTTAGGGCTGCTGGGTTCTTAGGAAGCGTTCTGGAATAACCAGACACTTAATTCCAAAGCCAGCGCCGGCAAGCACAAGTGTCCACGGGTGAGAAGCTCAGGGGCAGTACCTGGCAGCGACCTGCTGGCCACTGGCCTCCTGACAGGTGGCTCTGCTGCTGCTCTCTCCGGTCCTCTCTGTCCTGGGGAGACAGTGCTCCTCAGTTGTGAGTCTGCAAGGTACACTTTCCTTCCGGCTTTTACAGCAGGTGACGGCAGTGACCAGATTTCTACCCTCGGTGTTCTGAGACGGCCTCATTCTTGATTCAAAGCATCACCTTTGCTAGAGGAACGAGACAAATCCTCCAGTTAGCACCACAGGGTGTGATGGAGGGAGCGAAACCGGAAAGGCGCACGGCCAGTCTGCCCCCTTAGTTGCAAACCCGTGCCTTTGTTTACCCTCTCTTTTCCAAGGCACTTCCAGCATAAAAAGCATCCTCACGCAGACCATGACCCCCAAGGCCTGTGTGCACCGCTGATGCCAGAGAGGTGACCACATGGCAAGGGCACGCTGAATCTGGCTCACTCACTGAGGAGGGCTGGTTCAGTGTGAGAGGACTGAACAAAGGGACCGGGGGACGGGAGGGAGCCACACTGAAAATCCACTCAGCACAGATGCGAGAGCAGAGGCAGTAGTCCCCATTATCAGTCCCAGCTGCGATTTCTAAATATTTCCCTCTGCTTGTTTATATTTTCTTATTTTAGCATTTTAAACATCATTTCACCTTCTCCGAGCTCGCTTTGGTTTTTCTCTTTTGGTTAAAGCGCAACCAAGGCCTGATTTGTTGCCGACAGCGTCTCAAGCCTGCCATCTAGTGGATTAAGGTGGTCATGACAGCTATTTCCCGCGACCGTTTCAGAAGTCACCGAGGGCTGTTTTGGGTAGAAATGAGTCCTTTCATCAGACTTCAAAGACGCCTGGTCTTCAGTTCGTCAGACTGGAGTATTGCAACTAGAAATTTCATTTAATTGTCTCAGATGGCTTCTAGATGAGCCACTCTGTTTGCTGTGGTTATTATTTTGAACTTTGCAGAGCTCTTGAAGAGTGAGTTAGGCAGTGAGATAATGGGAGATGGCTGGCTTCGGGAGGGAGGCGGAGGGTCGGAGCAGGGGTCTTCTCCCAGGACCTTCAAAGGTCACAGGACCATCTTATCCTGTAATTTGAAAGTTCCAAAAATACATTATTAAGCTCCCGTATTAGGTGTAGTTGAGCTGTGGTAAATGCTCTTTGGAAGCAAAGGGAACGCAGAGCCGTTACTGTGGGGCGATACATATCCTATGGCTTTGTTTACGTCATTTGATCATATTTTTCTGCATAGTTGGATATAGTACTATAAATTGATGTTTTTTGATCATTGGTTTTTATTTTAAACTGCATAGCCTGATTGTGAGGATTGTATAAGTTCATTATAACTAGAAAACAATTAAGAGATATGTAAGGAATTGATTAATCAGCTATAGTTGATCTCCAGAAAAATTCCTTTAAATGCATTTAATTTTTAAATTTTTTTGAAATTATACCACAGTTGCCACCATTTCTCTCTCCATGTTCTCCCTGCAGGCCCTGCCAAGCATTTCCCTTTGCCTTGGCTGGGCCGTGGTGAACACCATGACCAAAACAACTTGGGGAGGAAAGGGTTTATTAGGTTTACACTTCCTCATTACTGCTCATCCTCAAAGGAAGTCAGAACAGGAACTCAAACAGGGCAGGAGCCCGGAGGTAGGAGCTGATGCAGGGGCCATGGTGGAGTGCTGCTTACAGGCTTGCTCCTCACGGCTTGCTCAGTCTGCTTTCTTATAGAACCCAGGACCAAAGGCCAGGGATGGCTCCAACCCCAGTGGGCTGAGCCTTCCCCCACCAATCACTAATTAAGAAAAGGCCTTAAAGGTTTGTGTATAGCCTGATCTTGTGGAGGTGGTTTCTCTTCATTTTTTTTTTTTTAAACTTTCTCGTTACTTATTCTTTGTGTCTTTCACATCATACCTCTTGAACCCATTTGTTTCCACATCCCTGGATATCTTACCTCTGCCCTTGCAACCCCTCCCACAAGATAAAATACAATAAAATTTAAGAGAAAAAAGAACCGGGGGAGAAATATCTCACCATGGAAGCTGTAGTGTGACACAGTGAGCCGGGCAGAAAAACCCTTTTGTCCAGGGATCTTAACTTGCAAGTGTTCATTGCAAAGCGTCATTGGTCTGGTTCGAGGCCTCTGGTTTCTGCTACACTATGTATGGTGGGCCCTCACTGGGACTCCCCTTGGATAACCCGTTGTTGCCCTGTGCCATGGAAATCCTGCAGCTTTGGATCTCCAGGACCAGCCACTTCACGTGCTGCAGCAGATCACAGATGAGGTGGATGTTGGGGTGGGCCAACTCATAGCCCTGGTTTGGGGCCTGGCTAGTTGTAGGGTTGGTCAGCCCACCAGCTCGCTCTCCCCAGTCCTCACCACCAAGGTGAGCTCTCCAGCACTGCCCTGGTGAGTTCACCTCTTGCAGCAGTGAGCAAGGGGCTGGGAGGGCAGTTCTCCTGCTTCTACATGGAGGCGTTCTCTTACTTGAGGTTCTCTCCCCTCAAATGACCTTAGCTCGTGTCAAGTTGGCATAAAACTCTCCAGTAAACCATTGCATGCATACATACATACATACTACATACATACATACATACATACATACATACATACATACATACAGTGTATCTGAGAACTTTACTTCCTGATCTGCACACAGCAGGCATAAAGAGAGATAGATATTGGGCCTGGCTTGGGCTTTTGAAACCTCAAAGCCCTCCCCCAGTGACCCACCTCCTCCAACAAGGTCACATCTACTCTAACAAGGCCACATCTCCTAGTTCTCTCAACAGTTGATCAACAGAGGACTAGGCAAGCACATATTAATACAGACACACACCCTGCATAGTCCCTCTGTGTTTCCTGTGTGTATATGATCTCAGTGCTGACAACTTGGTATTAGATAACCATGTGAACAATGATACTAATGGAGGTGCTAACATGGGAGGGGGAGAGTTTGTGTGGCCTCCAGCCCAGACAAAGGATCATGGGCAATCGGGCAATTGGAGAATGCTGAGCATAGGAGAAATGGTCTTGAGTCCTTTTCAGAGTACCTCCTCTCAGAGTTTAATATCTTTGCACTTCATATAATGCACTTACGGTTTTAACTTGGCAGAATTTTGATCAGTGTGATTCTACTTTCATAGTTACAAGGTGAATATCACCCCCTATGACCCACGAGCATCAATTTTAATGGTAGCAAAATATTTTAAAAATATAGGTAAATCTCCTTTACTACTGAAAGTGTAGTGTTCTTTTTTTTTTTCAAATATCTTCTAATAAATATTGTCGCTGTGAACTCCTGAGATGCACACATTGATGAGAATAGCTTCTTTCATGAAGGAAAATTGCCTTGAAGTTCAAGACTAGCAAGTATTTTGTTTTAATTGACCAAGTTACCTTCCATGAGCTTGGAATGATTGATTGTGTTCAGGCTGTCATGGGGTTGGAAATTCCCTTTGCTCTCGTCCTGGGTGACATGGTCATTTCCATTTGACTGAGTGGACATGCAAAGACTGTCTCATGGGACCGTAAGCTGCATATCTGTCGTTAATAAGTTACTTCATGTTTACTGAAAATTGTGCTTCTTGTGTCATTATTTGAACATCTTTTTCCCGTGGCCTTTCTCTGTGTTGATTTATTAGAGCTGTTTAGAGAGTCAGGCCCATTAGCCATTCCTCACAGAGTCTTCTGGCAGCCCTGTTCCCCGCTTGCTCTGTGAGCTGTGTTTGGTTTGTGACTTTTAAGTCTTCTGTGGGGTAAGAGGCAGTGGTGTTTGCTTTGCTCTTCATTTTCAGCTTTCATGTTCAGAAATAGCCCTTTCATTTTCCACCTTCATCTCCGTCTTTTGCTTATGCTTCTCTGTTTCCATTTCATAGAGGCCATACCTTTTTATATCTTTCTGAAGATATCCGTCAGAAATGAAAATCATTTTTCGTTCTTTTATTAAATTGCTTCCCAGTGTAATTTTTACCCCTAGTCTTTGAGAAAAGAGAAACAACATTGCACACAGATGATAATTAGTGAAAACCTCCTTCTAGTTGTAGAAGTTAGTATTAGTTTATTTTTAGTATTATGATGCCTTTTTACCTTGTTATTATATTTTCTTTTTTTGTGTGTGTTTTTATTTTTTTAATTTTATAATTTAATTTTACATATCAGCCATGGATTCCCTTGTTCTCCCCCCTCCTGCCTCTCCCCCTTACTCCCAGCCCACCCCCCATTATTATATTTTCATTAATTTCTAATGGGACACTGGGAGGTAGTAGTGGGTGAATTCCTTGATAGATGCCGTCTTAAGCCACGTACCTCTTTCTATCTTTGATCCAGTAAAGACTAGGAGGGAAGGAGATGAGCGAGAAGCCTGGAAGTTGTGGAAATTAAGAGAAAATGACACGTGTCTGATCCTGACACACGGAGGCTGGCGTCCCCAGGGAAATCAGGGATGGAGTTAATTTTCTAGCCTTCCCAGTGGTGGACATTGAACCGAGGAAGCTTCGAGAGTCCGAATGGCTGGGAATTTGGTCATATGAATATTTCCCTTGGGCTAGGGGGATGGTTTGGGAGAGGTGGGGTAAAGTGCTTTGCGAGTGTGAGGACCTCAGTTCTAATCCCCAGAACTCACACAAAACTTACAGTTGTAGCAATCATGTTGGGATCCTAGCACATCAACGGGAACATGAGCGCAGAGGTAGGAGAGTCCCTAGAGGCTCCTGGTCCAGCTATCATGACATCTGCAGCAGAGAAACAAAACACAGCAAGAGACCTTATCTCAAACAAGGAAGATGAGGCCCATTGTGTCCTCATCACTGACCTCCCTATGTGTACCATGGCACATGCCTGTCCACATTCACAGCCCCAAGTCCACACACGAATAAATCAATTGCCCTGTAGTTAGTAAGCCGTGGCATCTCATTTTTCTTCCACCTCTCCTCGTTATAGTGACAGATAAATGAGATGGAGAAGTGTGCCATTTTAAGCTCATGTCCGTAGATAAAGTGCAACAACACAGCCAATTAGTGCCGGACTCTACTCACATTTTACTGTTCTCAACAACAGTGTTTATTTGAGGTCTATTCATTACAGCACTTAGAGCCGAATTCCTCTGTGAGCGTGTACTTGTAGCTGCTATTGGACAGATGATTTATTTATAGTTTGAATCTACCATCCAACTATTGCTAGTGGTTTGGAAAACCTTAAGTGAGATTTGTGTTTCGTGCAGCTATAGATTAATAATGTCTGTTCTTATATAAAGCTGAAAACTATGGTTATAAATTTTCTCCTTCTTGCTAATTGTGCAAAATAGAAAATTGTGTTTTCCCAAGTTCCCCACGACTCTGCTCCGCTTCAGCCTTCCTGAACTTCTGGGTTCCCAGTACTTTCCTTTGTGTCTTCTTAAATGTGTTGGGAGAACCAAACCTGGGTTCAGAATCCTAGTTGAAAATCAGTTTTCTTCTCTCATTTTCAAAGAGGTGTTATTCCAAGAGGGTAGCAAAAGACATGTAGACATTTGACATGCCCATCCCTTGTCTTTAACAAATGTTAACATTTTCTTGTTTTGCTCTAGACCTTTTTGTACCTGAGTCATCTACCAGTTGTAGATTCTTTTTGTGTCATGCCCATGGACATGTTAACTGACAGAAACAGAATTCACAGCCAAGATTTTCTGAGGCTGAGGTCTTATCTGTTCTTTGGGGGACAAGTTCAGTGGTCTATCGCTAAGTCATGAATTCATGAGGTCTGTACCCAGAGCAGACCCCTCGTTCGCTGCCTGCACAGGATATGTCTGCAGCCCCCAGAGCATCAACAAAGGCAGCGTGGCAGCTTCATTATGAAGACCCCAAATGGATCCTCTTGTTTCTCATTTAAGTCAATTGCACATTTTCCTGTCAGGGTTCCTGGGCATAACAGGCTTGGCAAGTTTACCTTCAAAACCATTTGAAGTAATTTGTGATGGAGATTGGAGGCACTTCAGCTGCCTGACAGCTGCTCCAGTCAATCACGATGGCAGAGGTAAATTAATCCCCTGGCTTTCTCTCTTGAGAAACATCTACGCAAACAGTCTTGTCCAAGAGAAATGCAACTGTGCTCAGTGATATTAAATAGGAGCAGAGGTATGTTTTTTATTTTTAATTTTTGGATGTGCCAAAGCTATGGGGTAGGTTCTTCCTTCGGCTGCTAACCTCATCCAGAGACGCTGAAGCACCCTGCTAGGATTGTGTCCGGTTAGAAGCATGTCTACACCTGGTGCCTGGGGAGAATGTAGTGCTGTTTAGAGGTTGTAGGTTGTTAAAAATGCTTTTTGTATCTTATGAGCAGAAACAGAATTTGTGGAAACTTAAATAGCTCAGATAGGGCAAGGCTGTTTAAAATGGTGGATTCTATTATGAGAGTGTTTTGTAATGTATCAGTGTAATCCCAGGAAGCAAGGGTGAGATCAAATATCTATTTCAGGGTAACCCAAGATTTTTATTTTGTTTGGGCTAACTTTCCATTGTTCTTAGAAAATTTGACAAATTTTTTTGGAAGTCTAAGAAACAAAGGTTGAGTATTCTAGCTTTGTTAATAAATTTACACTGTTCTACTTTCTATTAGGTAGATTGCACACACATCTAGTTCTTAAAGAGGGTGCTTTACCTCCAACACCCACCCATATCACCCCATCTATCTTTACACAAATCCAGAGATATATCACATTCAATGCACCATGCTAATTCCAGGGAAATTTCCCAAAGAATATCAGCTGATGTGTTTCTTCTTGGGATTCTAGTTACAATCAGGGCCAAGCAGACAAATCACTGTTCCCCTGTGTCTCCAACAGTGCCATTTGATTTTTAGTATTATGCTTTAATTAATTAAAAAATATGTATATGTGTGTGTCTGCATGAGTGTAAGCCATGTGAGTACAGGCTGCCACAGAGGCTAGAAGAGGATGTTAGATCACCTACAGTTAAGTTATAGGTGGTCCAGTGTAGTCACTGTGAACCAAACTTGGGCATCCCAGAAGAGGAACATGTACACTAAAGCCCTGATCCCCAAGTTTGATCTTCTTATCTCAACCTGTATGGTTCCAGCCAGGAGGCAATGGCCCCAGCTTCATGTGAGGGAAGTGACAAGGTGGTTTGTTTAAATACTTATGATTAGTTAGTGACAAAGCTAGTGGTCTCACCTACATGAGCTGTCAGCCCCATGAGCAACAACCCATGAGGAGTTATCAGCCCCATGAGCAACAACCCGTGGGGAGTTACCCCACACCTGCGTCCAGGGCTCCTGTTGTTTTTGTTTTCAATAGCCTGTGGTTTCAAAGAGTGCTTTCCAGTGTGCAGGGTATCTCCCTTCATTAAAAAAAAGTTTGGCTATAAGATTCTAATTTTTTTTTGTGTGTGTGTGTTTCAATTCCCTTTTGCTGTGGAATGTTGTTCTGTATGCTGTGAATGTTGATAAATAAAACACTGATTGGCCAGTAGCCAGGCAAGAAGTATAGGTGGGATAAGCAGACAAGGAGAATTCTGGGAAGAGGAAGGCTGAGTCAGGAGTGGTGAGCCAGGCACAGAGAAAGCAAGATGTGAAGGCAGAACTGAGAAAATGTACCAAACCATGTGCCTAAACATATAAGAATTATGGGTTAATTTGTGTAAGAGCTAGTCAGTAATAAGCCTGAGCTAATGGTCAAGCCTCTGTGTGTTTACTTGGGAGACATGAGTGGGAGAGATTTGTCCCAACCGCTGGCTGGCCAGGACACAGGAAATCTTATGACTACACTCCTTTATTTTGATTAATCTTCCCCATCTCCCCCTGTCTTGCCTCCCTTATCCCCCCTCCACTTACACATTTCCACCCCTCTCTACATTCATATTATCTATGACTTACTACTCTCCATTCTTAAGGCACCTCCATCCTAAAGGCCTCTTTCTGGACTTCTGGCCAATATAGGATCTATACTTTCAACACAGAAAAGTAGAGACTCATAGCTCAGATCCACATTGCAGAAGAACATGTTGGAATTTGTTCCTTTGTACCCAGGTTACCTCGCTCACATATGTATATTTCAGTTTCATCCATTTACCTTCAAATTTGCAATTTCCCTTTCTTTATAAATAAATAAAATTTTATTGTGTTTTTGTGCCAGTATGCTGCATTTTCATTGCCAATTCATTGGTTGATGGACAGGTAGGCTGATTTAATTTACCAGTTAGTGTGAGTAGACGGACAATGAATGTGGATCTGCACACAACACTGTAGCAAGACATAAAGTCCTTAGAGTCTAATATGCCCAGGAGTAGAATAGCTGAGTAATATGGAGAAGTTTTATTCCTAGATTTCAAAGAACCCCCACACTGATTTCCACAGTGACTCTGTAAGTTTGCACTGTCCAAAATAGTAGATAAGTCTTCCACTTCCACTATGTCCTTGCCAGCATTTCTTGTTAATTAATTTCTTTTTTTCCTGTAGGATTTCATATAGTCATACACTGAATATGATCAGATCTACCCTCATTCCTCCCCCTCTGTCTTTCCCTGACCCCTCCAATAACAACACATTTCACCTCTCAACTTCATATGTTTTTGATAACCCACTAAGTCTACTTAGTGATTCCCATATGTACATGGGCCATCCACTGAACAGAACCTATATCCTCCAAGCAATGATTTTCCCTCTTCCAGCAACTGTGCATTGCTAATAGCTCCTCAGTGAGGGGTGGCACCTGGAGTTCACCCACCCCATCTATGCTGGAATTTTGGCTGGCTTGATTGTGTACAGGTCTTATGAAGGTAACATCAACTGTTGTGAGTTCAGGAGTATGATAGCCATGTCATGCCCATAATTTCTTAAAAGTCCTCCCCATCAACTCACCTCAGTCAAAATAACTATGGCAGGAATGCAAATCACTACAATTGTTGGTATGGATGTGGGAAAAGGAGAACTCTTATACATTGTTGGTGGGAATGAAAGCTAATACGGCCATCTTGGAATGATCCTAGAGGTTTCTCAAAAACAAACAAACAAACAAACAAAAACAAAGGCAAAAACAAAAACAAACAAGAAAACCTAGAAATAGAACTGCTATGACTGGCTATACCACCCTTTGGCATGCACCCAATGTACTTTACATCCTACTATAGAAGTACTTGTCCATCTCTGTGAATTTCTGCTTTATTCACAATAGTTACAAAATAGAATCAATCTAGATGTCCATCAACAGGTGAATGAATAAGAAAACTGTGGTTCATATACATAATGAAATATTATTCTGCTATAAAGAAAAATGAAATCATGAAATCTGAATGTAAATAGGGAGAACTGAAATATATATTTCATATACATACATATTTTCATATATATATATTTTCATATACATTTTCATATATATAGCCAGTGGCCATGTCAGAGGAGCAGCATGTGGCAATTGAAGTTCAAGGTGTCAGCCCACGAGGAGGAAGCTATCTGATGGGCCAACCTTGGTTAAGGCAAGACCCCAAGACCACAGACCCCAAAATGCCTTTTCCTTCTGCTGTGCCTTTAGATGATTGCTGTTGCTATCTTTCTCTGGTATTTGGCATGGTGTGATTGGGTGTGAGGAGATCTCTACTGCTTGTAATGTAGTGTGTTTATATCATGGAAACATCCTGTTCTACTGGGAATTTTTATCTGTGGATTATTATAAAGATGATTCCACTTTAAATAGTACTGTCTAATTGATAATAGTAATGTTAGCTTATACAGAGTTTTGATGAATAAAAGTAAA